AAAAAAAAACATGTAAATCAATCAAGATCATTAAAAAAAATATTCAATTATATTGCCTCAAACAAATAGAAATATAGAATAAAACAACAAAGCAAAACAAGCATTTTAAACGTAAGCTAGACATTATCTTTTCTTTTTTTTTTTTTCAATTTTTTCATCAAGTTGATCAGCCCAGGGTGATTAATTGGCTACGACCCTGCCTGGAGGCCTGTGGAGTTGTTACGGTAAATGAAACCTATTGGATGTACATCGGAAAGGTAAATTTTAAAAAGTTTCGTACAAGCTTTTGTGTGCTGCCGCACTTGCTCGGGTTTTTTTTTTTTAACTATTAATTCTCCTTTTTCTTTATTATTAGTTCTTTATTTACTTTAAAAATACCCAAAAATTTAACTGTATTTTTTAAAGGAAAACAACTATTACCGGCTTTTTTGCCTGGTTCCAGTGGTACGACGAGTGTGTGGACCTTTGGGATTTATGCGGGGCGGCCGAAGTTGACATGGCCGGCTGTCCAGGCGCATCCACCACCAGTCCAATATATTTGGACGAAAGCGAAGATGAGATGGAAGAGGACGACCACCTAGAGGAGGATGAGAACCACGGTGAACCAGCTAATGAAAATATGCATAACATGAACGATTACGTTGTAAATGTCGGCGTAATAGCTGTTGGAATCTATGAGTATCTCGTTATATACAAGTCACGAATTCAATAGCAAACGTAAACTTATGCGCAACGGATCTAAAGATTTGACGTAGAAAATTTACGACTTAAAATTTTCTGAATCTGATGGATTCGGGATGACTGGGAGCAGCACGTCGGAAGGATGCCAGGATCGCAAGGATCAGTAGGCGTCGATGTCGGGCTACGAGGCGGAGGTCGCCGGTGACGTCGCGGCGGTCAGATTGGCGGCTCGTCGCGTCGCGGCGGTGGTCGGCGATCCTGGGTCGGCGGATCACGGCCTTCGGGTCGTGGTTCGTCGGCTTCGATAGACGATCACGATGTCTCGATTACCTTCGGGATCTTCTATTGTATTACTCAAACACCTCTTCAACTTGTATCGGTGGAACAATAAGAAGAAGATAAAGCTAAATTCTAGAGAGAGAAGAGAGAGGGAGACGCGTGCGTGTATGTATCTGCACGTTAAAAGACTCTGATCTCTTATTTGTCTATTCCATGAGTTTAATGATTATAGAGCTACAGTAGGGACTCATAGGAGAATAGAATTACAGCTTCTTAAGTAATGGACTAACTGTGGGACTGACTCACTCTTCCAATTACTTAAATAATATTACGGTCCACTAATATCTGGACCATGTGGTCACAATGCATGCCAACTGCTGTATTGGGATTGGGAACAAGATCCATGACATTAATATGACCATTAATGACTGGAAAAAGTATGTGTTGCTGCCCTATGGAGAGCGCAATTTGAGCAGTAGGTCATGGACTGTTCCTAGAATTTGTGGCTGAAATATATAACAAGAAAAAAGAGTTATAACAAGAAAAAAGAGGGCCCAATTTAGACTTCAGGCTCCAGGTGTTGCCTACATGAGCAAAGTTATATCATATAAACCTGAGAAAAATTATATGTACTCTTCAGAATAAACTAGTACCGCTTGTATACACTTATAAACAATTACATTTGATATTAGATTTTTGAGGGAAGTTTTAAATGAAGATACATCAATGTTACAATTATATGTCACTAGTTTTTGTCCCGTGCATTTGCACGGAAAACTATATGATACATGAAAAAATAATAAAAATTATAAACAATAATAAAAATCATAACAAATTCATTGAAAAAAATTAAGAAAAAAAATATAAATATTCTTAAACACTTCTTTATAAAACAACGTCGTTGTTTTTCTATCGTCAAAATCTCCCTCAGCTCAAATCAAAATCTTCAAACCCCACTGACTCGTAACTCTAAAAAGCGCTACGTATAATTGCTCATGACTAAAAGCAGAGCTCTTCAGTAGTAAGCTGACGTGCGACAGAGACTGTCTTTGACTCTTATTGATCATGTCATAGCATAGGAAACACTTCTTTATATTGTTTGTCCTTGACTCTTATTGATTGATAGAGATTGTCCTTGCTTCTTAATAAAAAAAAATACCATCTAAATATAAATGAGTAAATATAATATTAATTTTTTATATAAACAAAAAATTTAAAGTAATTGATAATGAGTATAGAATTACCCTTGCGGATTCAAGTTATTTCAACGATGTTCTTTTTATATATCTAAGATTTAATTTTTTTTCTGATTTATATGAATATAAGCACATTTGACTAATTTTTATAAAATTTATTGAAAAAAGTTACTATTTTTTTGAAAAACTGATAAGATATTAAGATAATACTGTACTTAACATAAATGTGAGATTAATTAAAATAAATCTTTTTAATTTAGTCATTAACTAATTAAATTTAACTATAAAAAACCTTCTTAAATGTGAGATTAATGAGTAATTAATTAAAAAAAATGTAACTTCTTTTAGAGGGAAAGTGAAAATATTTTTATTAAATGTTTTATTAAATGAGATTAGCTAGCAATTATATATATATAGATTGCAAAATATCTTACTAAAATAGGACTTTTGGCAGGAAAAATAAATATTTTGCCAATTTTAAACTTGAGTCAAATAAATTACACAATATATATATAGAGAGAGAGATGATGTGATGAAAGTGGATCATTTCAGCACAATTAAATTACAAAGTCGCATCCCTTTTTAGTTACTATTATAATCAAATTTGTATAAAATGAAATGTATTATAAATAATTTTGTATTTTGAGTATTAATGTTATAAAGAAAAGTTATATTTGTTATTCACGTGTGCACGAAAAGAATACCAGTAGGATTTAATACCAACAAATACAATCGTATTCTACTTCTATTATTAATGAATGGAAGGAGTATGTATCCTCAGGCAAATGATGAAGCTGAACCAAGTACTACAAAGGGCAGCCATGCATGCCAGAAGATATTGATCGTAACAACCTTAAATGAAGCATGAAACTCAAATTTTGATCTCTTTCTTGAGAGCTTCAGAATTGCGAAATAAACACATCGGCTCCAGCATTTGGTTGTTTTGGCTTTGGACCAAAGTGCATTCGATCACTGCTTAAGGAATAAGGACACATGACCTCCAAAGCTACTTTCTTGCAACAGAAGGCATAAACTTCTCGAACGACGCACATTTCATGACTCTGGACTACTTGAAGTTGATATGGAGAAGAATGGATTTCTTGAGATGGGATACAATTTCGTTTTTTCACTGTTTGTAACTTAGCGCGTAAAATGACACTATGACAGTTATATTTACAGTTCTGATTATTATATTGTGTCATTGCAAATTTAATATAAATACATGACAAAAAAATTGCAATGTAAAAGCCTCGGCATTCTCAACTAACGAAGTCTCCATTAGCTGCTACAATAATTTCATATATGTCAAGACATACTGCTATGCCTATAAGTTCCGAAAATTGAAGATTTTCTCTCTTTCTTTTTCTGTCCATCTCATGTTGGCGCAGGATGCGGACATAATGTGGCTAAGAAACCCCTTCTCACGCTTCTACACAGACACAAACTTACAAATATCATGTGACAGCTTTGGTGGGAACCCAACCGACCTGCAGAATGCACCCAATGGAGGTTTCAATCATGTAAAATCACCTAAACAAACAATCCAGTGCAAGGAATTCTGATATGAGTTGCAAAAACACTATCAGGGCAAAAATGGGCAAAAATGACCAGGACGTGCTCAAGTAGATAAAGTTCAACCCCTTCAATAGGGCCCTTGGACTACAGATCAAGTTTCCCGACACAGTTTATTTTGGGGCCGTCTTCCAGCCAAAGCAAGGACTTGAACCTCGTGTGCACGATGCATGCGAACTGCTGTGCTGGCTTGGACAATAAGATTCAAGATCTCAGGATTTTGCTAGACGAATGGAGAAACTATTCTCTTTGCTGAAAGATGTGAGGAAAGCAAAGATGCCTTCATGGTCCATCCCACATTTATTATAAAAGAAGCTAATCTCCACTGTAGGGGCTAACTGCTTTTTTTCTTCCACAAACTTGTAGACCGGATTCGTTTCATCATCATACCGCAAGGAAGAAGAATGGGAAACAAAAGAATGACCAACATATATGCATTTCCAACCACCTGACAAACCGTTGATTTCTTGCCTCTCTTGTTTCTTTTTCTTCAATTTTCTCACCCAGAATGTATGTAATCTAGCAAACAATGAATCATGATAGCAAATAATTCGGCCAAATAACATGAACTATTTCCACACTGAAAATACAAAGAGAACTTTTTTCAATGCAAGCAAATTGGGTACCTACTTGTTTCAATCCGACTCATACTCTGATAGCAAATCACGCTCCATCTCATTTTCCGACTCAACAAATCCAGCAGACCACTCTCCACCACCCTCACAAATCCCCCTTTCCCTCCTATACAACCCCCGGCTCCTGTCCAAAAACCCCTTTATCATCATGCACGCGTATTTCTCCCTAATCTCCCCCAAAGGGTGACTCTCCACCATCACCCCTTCTCGACCATACGCCTCCCTCAGCACCACAGTCTGCACGCCACCCTTTCTCGACAGGTAAAAAATCCCGGGATGCCTCTCAAACACCTTGGTGAACTTCTGGGGCATTCCCAGTGGGCCCCGCAAATTGCTCACGTTCCGCCTCTCTGTCCTCCCGAGCACCGTCAGGTGCAGTAGCTCGTGAAAAACGCCCACCACCCGTTTCTCGGACTCATCAGTCCGCGGGTCGAGATGGGACCAATCTGCGTATGGGCTCGTGTAGGGCAGTTTCTGCCACTCGTCCAGCCACTGCATGCATTTCCTTTTCAGCCCAAAACCGCGCGTGAACCGTATGGGAAAAGCCAAAGCCAGTGCCTTGCCATTTCTGGCGCTGCCTTTCGACTCCAAATGCGACACGGCCAGATGATTTTCCCACGTCAGGAGTTTCACGCCGACACGCTCGTCCGGGAGTTTCACCGAGGAGAATAAATCGGGCCTTTCGGTGAGAAACGTGGTCTCGTAATCGTACGGAAGCCCTAGATCCCATCTCAGCTGGTCGATGGTCTGTAAAGGGAGCAGTCTCTGTTTTGTGAGCATGAGCAGTTTTTGCAGCCTGCTTAAGATATCCGCGTAGCAGTCATTGTAAACCAAACGGGTTTCCAGACGGTGAATTTCAGAGGCCTCGGGGGTGAGCTCGTACCAGGGAACAGGGGTGCCGCTGGAATCTGGGCGGTAGAATTCGCGGAAAATGTTGGGGTAGCGGCGGATGAAGGTGGAGAGTTTGAGGTCAGGCGGGAGGCCGAGCTGGCCGCGGCACCTGGAGAGGCAGTAAATCGGAAGGGCGAAATCGGGGTTGGAGGCGATGAGCGAGATGAGAGTAGAGGCGGCCTTGAGGTGTAGGGCGTTTGAGACTGCGGTGTCGAGAACGGGGTCGTTCACCCACTTGAACTTCACGTTGACGAGATTCCGACTCTGGATTTTGATGAATGGTGGAATGCGTGTAATGGTGAAGAGCTGGCTTGGCCATCGCCGGAAGATCATTTTCTATGACACAATTCGTCGAACATGTTTGGGGCAAATGACAGACGGACCCACACTACACATGGAAGGTGCACATCAAACCAAAAGAGTACAAAAATCCCACCTCGGGTTAAATCTAACCGGGGCGGAGCTAGGATTTTAAAATACCTGGGGCTAATGAAACTGCGATCTTCGATTCTTTTTAGATTCAAATTCAGCGATTATAGAGAACTCGTATCAATTGAGGCGGCAACATCATTAGAAGGACGATCTCCGCTTGTCGACGTAGGCTCGTTTGGCTTAAAGAACGAATTGATAGTCTTTCTTTTCTTCGTACCTTGACCCTCCATTATGGTTGAAACCTATCAAATTAACAAGAAAATAATAAATTAATCAAGCATTTGGATGATATAAGCAATCTAGAAAATACAAAAAAAATAAAAAGATAGAAAAAGGTAATNAAAAGATAATCAATAACGATTTGTGGGTTTTTGTACACAATCTTATTATGAAGGCCAAACAAGCATCCACACCTTTTAAAGCATTGAGTACATGATCAACAAGCATTAACACATATAATTAAACTAAAAACATGTTCCCATCTCAACTTCAACATAAATTTTTTAAACTTGTGACAAAACAAATATAGCAACAGCCATAGGCCCACAAACCACAAATTCGGAGAAAAACCAAAACGGGTTTCAATTTTCAATTCACATATGGCAATACAAAGAGACAAACCAAAATTACTAAAATTAAATCAACCTATGAGAAATTACAGAACAAAGATACAAAGATAAAGAGTCACCACATTTCAATTCATACTCTCAAGTCTCAATAAACCAAAAATGAATTCAGGACGGCTATTCATACTCTCAATAAACCAAATATAAATTCAGGTTCAGTCGTGTTACCTCGGGCTCGGAGTCACTCTCAGTCCCGCTCACTTGCTGGCTGCCGCCCGCGACTGCTCGATCTCGAAGCATTATTATTATTAATAAAGGTTTTGATTGATGTTGATTTAGCCACGTAATTGAACACACAAACAATTAATAACAACACATAAGGCAGGCAATTAAGGCAAATAAAAGCACTTAAGAAAAATTAAGCAGATAAATTCACATAAAAAGTACATCAACAAATAAGGCAAAAGCAAGGTTCAAACACCACATAAACATGCCTCTTTCTCCATTCTCCTTTTCCCACCTCTCTTTTCTCAAAATAGAGAAATTCATATAAGGCCTTAAAACTGAAATTAGGACTTTGAAACATTACTTAATTTCAGCATATGAAACACATGAAAGTTCAGTAGCCATACAACCAAAACAAGGACAGAATTCATGCATTAACACCTCATGATCTCAACTCATTCCTTTCTCTATTTCTTTCACAAATCAACATAACAGAAAAGCCACATAAGTACTGAAATGAGAGTTCTGAAATACACATACGACGAGCAACAAATCACACATAGAGTTCAGAAATTAAGTCATTCAAACAAGGTACAAACAACATACAAAAACCAAGCCTTCCATCCTTCTTTCTTTTCTCATCACATAAGTAATTCATATGAGGCCTTTGAACTAAAATCAAAGCCTCTGTAAATACTCATTTTCAGTATGGCATTCATATAAAAAGGCGCAACAAGGAGATCACCATACAAAGCCAAAGGAACACACCCAAAATGCTTAAATTTCATTTTTCTTCCCTCAAACACAAATCACGTGCTAAGGCTGAAAAAAACTGGGATAAAAGCTCCAAGCATAATTCATTTATCAACATACCATTCACATAATAACCTCAGCACAAAGGCATACACATATGGCACCAAATTCACAAGAATCCGTCTCATTTTCTTCATCATTTTCACTAAGTCAAAGTAACACATTTCAGCACTAAACGGACGTATGCTAACAGCCTCAGCAAAACTCAAACAAACAAGGCAAAAATCACTCAACATAGGCAAATATTTCAAACCGAACTTAAGCACATAAATCCAACCATATTCGGCCTAAAGAGGGTAAAAAGAATCTCAGCCAATATACCTCAATCAGAAATTAAATTTGGAAAGAAACAAGGCTCCGGCTCGTTACTCTCGGCTTCTTGGCTGCTGAACAAAGAGGCTCGGACCTGCCGTTGGGTTGCACTGCTGGGGAACACGCGGGCTTTGACGGGCTTGAACACGGGCTGCAGCTGGTTGACGAGGCGGCCTCGCGGCTGAGCGTCACCGGAACTGCTGAACGGAGCTGGTTGTTTGCCCTCGGTCGTGAGCCGCCCGGAAAAATCGACCTCGCTGCTTCAGGGGTCCCTTCAGTCGCGGACAGAGGCTCTTCCTCTGGAACTCCTCGGTTGCGGGACAGGGTCGGGGCTCGTCGGAGGTTGGATCGCGGCTCGATGTCGGGAAAATCTCCGCCTATGCTGCTTGTTCGCGGTTCACTTGCCTCGCTTCGCCGGTTGTCTGTCGGCCGAAGGGAATTTCTGAGGGAGGTGGGATTGCGGCTCAAAGAGAGGAGATGAGGCGAGGGTATGAGGGCGTGGGCTAAAATCTGATGCAACTGATCGAGAAAAATTGGGGAGAAAATCTCCCGTTGTTGCTGTGAATCTGCGAGAGAGAGAGACAATGAACGCACGGGAACGAGTTGCGGCTGAAGAAAAGAAACTAGTACAGTTGCCGTGCAAATGCACGGCAATATATATATATATACTAGTTTGTTAACGGCTGTGCACAGCACAGCCGGGCCCAATTTCGTTATAATAGTGCTCAATTTTTGTTATAGTTAGGTATGTAATTAATTTATAATCAAATTATATGTTACATTGCAAAAGTAATTTTTCATTGAATATTACTTTTAATATAGTTATCATGCTAATTGTATTTGCAATGTATAACAAAAAGAATGATAATTACAACGCTTTTACAACATTAGTACATTAGAATCAACAGTGACAGCTACTACTGAAGCAACAAGATAAATTTCATTTTACCTCCAATGTCTCAGTTAAAAGTGGCACAATATGAAAGATCTACTCCAGCACAATTTGGAATGGCGGCATAGTTGATTAGTGCAAGCCACATAATAGATTAGTGCTAAAGTTGGAGTATAACAAACATTAGATTTTAACTTTGAATGCATTGGGTATGATTTCTGAAATGCAAGTAGATTAGCATTGCTATCCAAAAATTCTCTTATAATACCATTCTGCATGAGTTTATTCCCATGACTGAATTATCGCATCTTTATATTTAGCATTTGCAATTTGTATGACTACTTTGGTGGTGTTGCTATAGTTGCTGTCAATATGCGTTCTCTAAAAATTCATGAAAATTGGCTGCATCAAAATGATTGTCTTTAAAAAATGAGAAAAATCCAAGTATATTAAGTCGTGCTTGTAATATAATTTTATGGTAATTTTGCATAATGTATGCACTTTCAATTATCTGACCATGCTTTTCCAAATAAGCAAAGAAAATGAGCCTTTTCGAAAAACACGACGCCTCCTGTTAAATAACAAAGACAATTTCCAACAACTTCGTGTCAAAAAACAAAAACTATTTTCGAGAATTTGAAAGCAAAAGAGTTCCCAGTGATGGGGGAACCTGGAACAAAAAAAAGAAAACAAATATATTTAGCAAAGTTTTCCTGTTGAAATTTCTCCTTGTTTTATGCAGTACCACGCTTGAGCTTTTGACATAATTTCCTTTTGTGAGGCATGTGAGAAATCGAACTGAACAGAAACACAATTCAACTCAGATTAGTATTTGTGGAACACCTATTAACATTAAGTTTTTTGATAAAATAGAATGTAAAATTGCTACAAAATATTTAACGAAACTAATAATAGCGCATAGCCTTCCAATTATTTCACTTTACATTTGTAAAATTATCGTATTTCTTGAAACCATATCATATAAGTTTGTTCATTACTCAAAATATACCTTTTTTAAGTGAATATGGAAGGACAATTAGAAATTTAAAATTAAATATCCATTTAAGCCATTTTACCATCCTATAAATGATATTTGACCCCCACTCAACAAAAAATCCTACACCCAACCTTTGCCAATAAGCACAATTCATACCTGTGTGTACATTGTTTATCTCGGTGAAATAAGTGTTCTCTTTCTGCCTGGAAAAAATAATAGCCCCTTAAATAATTCTTGAAAATGAGCAGCAAAGTATGAGCTTTAGATAACAAAATTAAACTGAAGAGAAAGAAATTAGATTTGTCCTTGTTAACCACGCTAATATCTCAGTAAGTAGTTTCAAACCGCTCAATAGAAGCTGGTGTCTAAGATCTTCAATTACAACAAATCCTAAAAAGATAGGAACTTCAATTACAACATGTCACAGTTGTTGTCATCCTCGTCCATAGAGCTTATGACGCAAGACGTCTCTATTCCATAAACTTCATTCATTCGCCATCTGTGTGAAGCAATTGTAAAATACATGAAATGTAATAAATGAAGGACAAGAAAACAAAAAATAGATGAGAAAANTTTAAAAAAAAAAAAAAAAAAATGATTTCACACATATCTCACAATAGTTGAATCACACATATCTCCCAGGTCCGATCTTCCTTGAACCCAGGACCGTAGGCACGTCCCTGCTCGGTCAAGGCTCGAAATCGGATTCCCAGTACCCACAGCCCATTAATCGACGATTGCACCTCCAACACGAATTTCAGCATTAGCCCCCCTACAATGTTGTAACGCCATGAATGATTTAAAACTGCTTCCAACTGCGGCACCAGCTTCTGCCTGGTTAACAAGGGATCAACACCACTCGGTAATTAATTTCAGATTGACGTCTATCGTTCTTATACCCTTCTAAATTAACAAAGTTAGAAAGTAGCTCAGGTAAATTATAAACAAAAGAAATAAGATGTGGATAAATTACAGTTGAAGCAACAATAGCTGCAACTCTTCGACTCGTACTGGTTCCCAAGACAAACTGTTCCCTCAATGCAGCAGATTTGGTGAAGCTATCGCGAGCTCTTTCAAGTCCTGTAAAATATAAATTGACCTAAAGTTGTAATGAAAATTACAACAACAACATAGCCTTTAGTCCCAAGCAAGTCGGGGAAAGTTGTAATGAAAATTAAACAAACAAATATAGCTATAAAATATCATATAAAAATATTGAAAAAGAAAAAGGTGCTAAGCATATAAAGAAAAATGCAATTCAACATGGTCAAGAGGCAAGTGACAACAGCCCACACGTTGGCAGCAAGTGTGGCAGATTGCACAATGACAGCAAGAGAATATCCATTAATTTAAGAGGGTGTAAAAATAAGTGCAAGATAACAACAACACTGGAAAACATGAACCGGATACATCTGCTCAATTATCAGATAAAAAAAAAAGTAGAAAAATAAAAGCCCCAGGCACGAGCTTTCTACAGCCACTCCATCTTTGAGGTATTCAAATAAAAAAGATTTTTCCTCGTTAATTTAAGGATTGCAAAAGAAACCAAACCAAAAACCAGATCAAAATAAGATGAACTAAACGATCAGACAGTCACACAAGGTAATGAAAGTCTTATATAAGCCAAGCGATCTACCAAAACCTCAAAACAAAAGAGAAGAAAACAAAGAACGAATGAAAAGTATTACAGCACCAATTCAAATAATGCATAAAAATAACACGAAGGGTACCTCTATTTGATGCTTTCCCGCCTCTCTCTTTCCTTATGAAATCATCGTCAACAGATTCACCTTTCTCCTCACCATCATCATTCCCCATATCACTCTCACCCGCAGTCTTCCACTCGGAATCATCACTCTTGTGTCCACAGCCATCACCGGGCCCACCCTCACACAAAATGCCGCCATGCTTAGCTGCAACCTCCCGAAACAGCCACACGGCCCTCATCTGTTTCTTCACGAGCCGATCAGCATAATCCAGGTCCTTGTTCTGCCTCAACGAAAGATCCGGGTCAGCCTATTGGGAACATTCGTTCACAAACAAGATTGCATCCAGAAGGCTCTCCTTGGCCATCCCGGGCTCAGCGGCCAAAATCTAACCATATATTAAGCAATTATTAACTTCTACAGGTCCAATTCAACCAACAAACAACATTTAATTAGCACCAAATAAAAGAAAACAGATAAAAACACACCTTTCAGTGAAGTCTCTATCGTCGTCGTCTCGTGAGATTGAATGAGATTGAATTTTTTCCTTCCAGCAAAGATTCAACCCAATGTCATCCAGAATACATAATCATTATACAAACAAACTTAATGATAGAAATAGAAAAAGCCAGTATGCTATTTATCCTACAATAACATATTGAATTATATTACTCTATGGGTGTGCGCATATGACAAAAGAAAAGTGAATATGTTTATCCATCTAATGAATTAAAATGAAAAAGGAAAAGATTACATTGTGTGTGTGTTTAGGTTCCTACAAAATCAAACTTAAGCCGACGACAACAACAACTATCTTAAGTGTAAATCCCCATAGCCATATGCCTAAAATGAACTAAATAAGCAACTAACAAGTATTAACCAAGCAAAAGGACAACACAACCTAGTCAACGCGAAAAAAAAAGTTGGAAATCCTCATATCATTCAAACAACTACATCCTTCATCATCATGATCTGTCTTAAACCCTCGTCTTTATCACGACCAATGTCCAGTCTGTAAACTTAAAAAGTTGGAGAACCGAACAATATCACCAATGAATGGTTCAAAAAATCAACTATGCACACACGCCAGCAAAATTACAGAAGCACATCAACAACTGTTCGCAAACTGAATAATCCACATCAGAGAACACAATTTCGATATACCCTAATTCCAAAAGTCCCAAATTAACCCAATAATAATGTGTGACAACATCTTCCACAATAGGCATCCATCCATTGAATATGAAATCAATGAAATTCAATAACTCTGATAAGTTCCGCAAACTATATATATTGTTAAATGAATTTTTTTTTCTTCTGGTGATGGAGTCAAAATAGAAAAAAGAATTCAGAAGGGAAAATTGCGAAAAAAAAAAAAGTCATTTTTGTCTATCATGACAATAAAAACAACTGTTTCGACCAAAAGCAGCATTCCTGCAAAGACGTTGAAAAAATGGCCGCTTTGTATATTCTGAGAACCCGAATGAAAATGAGAAATTTTTCAAAAAAGTCACTTCCCGGCTCAATAACAGTCCACGACGCCTGATTGGGCCAGATTTGTCCATTGCTGGACACATTCCGTCGCCTCTCTCGTCTTCAACCTGTCTTCTCCCTCCGAACACTGCAGCCGGTCCGCTGCTCAGATGTGGAACAATGTAGGACGACGGCGGGTTGTTGGAGTAGGGCATTGAGGTGAGCCTGGTTTGGAGCCTGGAGGTGAAGATGAATATGAGGTAGAGCCGTAGAGAAGAGCCACAGGGGGTTTGAGATTGGAGATAAGCTTCTACTCTGTTGAGTGTGCGAAAAATCGAAAGCTCTGCACAAACAAAACCACAAAAATAATGCCCTTAATATCAACAAATACCCATTAAAAAATAAATCGACACCCAACACACAAGCTGAAAAAAATAAAAAAACAAAAAAGGCGCTGGCCCTGTACCGTCACACGGCGGCGCTGGATCTGTCGATGTGCTCGAGGGTCACCGATTTCTCGCTCGTGGTTGTCTCCGACTGGTGCAGGGGAATTCTGAGATCGGTCAATTTGTCGTGGTCGAGGTTTATCACGCACGCGGGACTGTCGGATTTGGTGCGAATTGGGTGAATCTGGTGGAGATTGGATTGTCGAACGCGACGGAGCTCCAGGACTCTTCCATGGCGGCGGTTGCTCGGGCGAGGAGCTTGGAGAGGCTGTGCCTGGCGAGGCTAGAGCGAACTCAGTCAGGAGAGAAGAAAGGATTTGGAAAATGAAAAGAATGAGGGTGATGTCGAATGCCGATCGCTAATATTTTTTCCTCTGGCAAAGGAGATAAGATAGGGGTGGGTAAATGAAAAGACTGCCTGATTGCGTGTGTGCGAGAACTCGGGGAAAGGAAGAAAAGAGACGTCTTCACCAGCGGGAATTCTGTCAAAAGGAAAAAAGTTTCATGTTGGGGCTTAACAATTAAGGTAGACCAAACGACGTCGTTTACTCTCAAATGGAGAGCAAAGAAGGCAGCCACGTGTCGGCAAACAAAGAGGATATGTGGTTTTCTTATAAGGTAGAGGGAGATATATGGTCACGCTGTGAAAATGAGAAATGAGAATAAATCGTAGTCATTGGATTCGATAATCTAATGGCTAATAAAAAAGTTAAATTTATACTTTCATTAAGAGTAATGTAGTAATTTTCTAAACATCACAAGAAATGGTGGGCCACAATACACATTTAATTAAGCTACCAACTATCCATTCAATCGGTCAACCCCAACCCACCTCATCTCACCCCAACCACCCCCTTCTCTCTCTCTCTCTCTCACACACACACACGCACTGAACTAATACACACACCACACACACACGTTGCCTCTCTTCTTCCGCCCTCCCCAGCATCGATCGCCACCTCCACTCTTTCCGCCGGCGACCTCCACTACCCTCCAGACAAGCTGCAGAACCACCGCCGTCGGTGACGACGCGGACCGTCGGATAGAGAAGCCCGACCGCCGCAATGGATCCGCCGCCGGCCATCGTCCGCTGACACACGTACTCATTCTCCGGCGCATCCAGAACTTCCCCCCGCCGCCGCCCCTTGTCCGACGCCGACACCTCCTTCATCTTCCACTTCTTCCTCCCATCGATCGGTTTTTCACCGACGTCGACATCGTCTTCATCCACGTCCCCTGCAATGACGCCATCACCGGAGAGATCGAGTCGTCTTCAAATGTTCACGGTCTCAGTCGTCTCGCGACTTTGATATTGACGGCAGACGGTGGCCGGAATGTGCAGAAGTCTCCGGTGGTCCTCCGATCCGCCGTTCGTCTTTCACGTCTACGAATCGGTTCCGGCATCGAGTGCCTCCGTCGATGGACGGTACGATACGGCGGCTGGGGGTGGTGTGGTGGTGGAAGGATGGCAGATTGGCAGGCGCGTGTTGTTGAAACTGTTGCAACATTAATTTGGGGCTAGGGCTTTCTCAATGAGAATTAGATATATTTGAGGGACTTGTTTGCAATTTTTACAAAAGTTAAATAAGATGTCATTTAATTGATACTAAAATCTGTAATTTATCACAAAAAATATAATAAGTGCACAATTTTGCTGATTAAATTGCACAATATTGTGTATGGATACACACTTTAAAATTACGTGCGTTGCAGTAATATTATATGGAATGCACATTAATAAATAAAGTATATATATAATAAAATAATAAATAAAATAATATAAAATATTAAATAATATAAAATTATTTTATAATAGTAAACAAATTATTGAATAAAATTAATATAAGATATTAAAATAATATATTAATCTGTAATAAAAAAATAAATTATACAATAACAATAATAAATAAAGAAATATTTTAATTATTTAGGTTAATTCAATGCACAATTATACACGTAATTTATCTGGGAGGGCATAAATTAGCTAGTGCACTTTATATATAGGAATGTCGCATTTTATAAAATATCATGATGCACTTTATAGAACAATATGTTGCACTTTATCACATTATCTATCTACAAAAAAATACAAGCATGCTAACGTACTAATTCAACATATTGCACATTATACAGTAATATATTGCACATTATAACACAACGTGTTGCACCATATAAAATGACTTGATGCACATACTAAAAAGTCAACAACATTAATAATAAATCGAATAATATTAGTTGGTTAATTGTCGGATATAGTCTTTTTAAATAAATAAAATAATTGAATATGAATTCGATACAATTTTTTTTATGTTGATTCGATTATTGTTATTATTTTTTTATATATTAATTAATCCGGTAAAATGTCATTTTTTATTTAAATAACCAAAATAAAAACAAACTATATTAAAAATATTATTTTATATATTTTTTGTATAAAAAATAATAAGCTATGATTTTTCTAGTGAAATATAAAAAAATAGTATTGTGCGTTTATATTTCAGTGCAATTATTATTTTTATTATTTTTATACTTATAAAAATTAGTAATGCACATTATAGATCGATGCATTGCACTTTGTAAAACAACACATTACACTTTACAAAACACCACGATGCACTTTATCGTGATTATCATATTGCCAACTCGATTTTTTTTTGAAACACTAATAATGTAAAATAATAAATCAAATTATTAACAAAAATGATTATGTTCATTCTCAACTCGATTTGGGACAAAAAAGTTCGGTTGGTTCAATCTGCTGCACAATAAAGACAGTCACCGTGCACCATAGTGTTGAACGTAATGCACCTTAATAATTCTTAGATTGCACAATATATTCCGTTTATATGATATATTAATTTTTTTATGAAAATGTAATATATAATATTAAATATTAAACACTAATTTATATTAAATAATATAATTTATTTCGATTATTTTTTGTTATTTCGGTTAATCAACACATTAAACTTAAAGATTTATAATAACATAATATATTGTGCAGTAATTATACTTTTGTTATATTACGGATTTGCCTCAATTAATAAATTGAAATAAATGAAACTTCAAAAATTTGCAATCAAACCCCTACAACATGTCAAATTTCCAAAATATAACCCCACAATTCCAAACCAAAATTTCAGCCGGCCATCTCCACCCACCTACGTCGGAGCTCACTCCCGACGAACAGTCACCGCCACTATGCTCACCCTCCGCCGTCTCAATCGCCCAACACTGCTCTGAGCTAAAAAACAGAAAAAAGAAAGGCTAATCGGCCATAAAAGTTTTACATATCGTCGCCGCCTTTGTGCGGGGGACGAGATCGATAGCGGTAGCGGCGACGCGACTTCAAGAGCAATGATAAACGGCGATGAAGGCTCGCCGGTTAATGTCGCTGGAGGTGGCTACCTTCTTCCCGTTGTCGGATCTGAGCAGCGGGGTCGGCAATTGATAAGATAAACACGGCGGCAGCGACGCGGTGACGGCAACGCAGAGGCAGGGCATCAATAACGGCCGCAGGCGAGGACGACCACACAGCCGCCGGGCGAGATCGACCACACAGGCCACGTACGATGCCGGAATCAGAGTGTTCTCTACTTCGACGGCGGCGACGATTTTGACGTCTGGCGGCGGCGACGCAGTTTGACGGCGACGGGCCAGCTGAGTTTGTGTGTGCGTCGTGAGGTGTTCTGTGTGTGTTGTGTGTGTTGTGTGTGTTTGTGTGTGTTGTGTGTGTTGTGTGTGTTTGTGTGTGAGAGAGGGTAGGGATATTAGATGTGTTAGTGGTGGGATCCACTGCTAGGGTATAATGACTGAGTTACCCCCATTTAATGATCTATTGTTTATTTTTGGCATGCTATATTCAATTATTTAAAATAATGCCATCGATGTTTGACTATGGTTTATTAATTTTGACTTCATCATCACCATTGGTTTGGTGGATCCAGTGGTGCAGAATCATTCTTATTTCTTTTATTATGACTTTTTCTCATATGATCCCTTCTCTATATATATATATATGATAAGAATTAACATTTACCATAAATAGTAGTAAGAAAAGTCAAACCACATTCATTATATACTATTTTCAGCAATTTCTTCATTTCACATTTTAATTTTAACTAGTGAGCAACCCGTGCGATGCACGGTGAGGCTTGTTCCTCAAAACTTATTTAAAACTTTATTTTTAAATATAATTACTAAAATTTAAACATTTCATTATGGCAAAAAGTAGATACAAAGTATGAAAAATCATATATTGTTGAACAATTCTCTATACATAATATTTTTTGTTTGATTTTGTGGCAAACCTTCTTGTCAACAAATTAAAATTTTCAAACATATGTGAAAAAAATTAAATTATAATATATTATTTGTAGTGTGATAATCGTAATATATTATTTTTAGTGTGATAAAATGTGTTTGGATAACTATGACCATTTGAAAAAATATTTAATAGTAATCATAAAACTTTAAATTTAAAAAGATAAATATGACCATTTTGAAGAAATATTTATTTGTAATCTTAAAATTTTAAATTTTGAAAAATGACTGTATATATGCGCCAAGTTTTTAGGAACCAATCGATCATATAATATATAATTCTTATATGATTTCCAGAGTCTTACGAACGTGACATGAACTTCATTTTTTAATTTCAAATTTAAACAAATCAAAAGACAAATTATTAGGTAGTTATGAAAAAAAGTATCCAACAAACTATTTTTTAATTTCAAATTTAACAAATCAGAAGACAATTATTAGGTAGTTATGAAAATAGTCTCCAACAAACTTCAATTAAACGACACACAACCATCAGATCTGGAGTTGGTTGCAGTCGACGATCACCACCTGTCTCGAGGTCTGGTGGCTCCCCAACCCGACATTCTCCACCGCCTTCAATATGTCGTACTCCTCCACCACCTGCCCGAACACCACGTGCTTGTAGTCAAGCCACTTCGTCCTTGTCGTGCAGATGAAAAAGTGCGTGTCATTTGTCCCCGAACCAGTCTTCGCCATCGACAGGTCCCGGTGTGCTTTCTCATGATGTTCTCGTCGGTAAACTTGGCGTCGTAGATCGACTTGCCACCAGTATCGTTACCCACAGTGAAGTCACTGCTCTGACAAATGAAATTGGGGATTACACGGTGGAAGGATGACCCTTTGTGGTGGAGGGGCTTGCCAGATTTGCCGAGTCCTTCTCGTCGGTGCATAGGGCGCAAAAGTTCTCGTCGGTCTTCGTGACGACGTCGGCGAAGAGCTCCATCACGATTCAACGATGGGGCTAGCTGCTGACCGTTATGTCGAAGTAAACCCTAGGATTCGATAGGTTGATTTTGAATATTTTATTTAGGAGTTTTTTGTGAATTTTTTTTATTTGTGACTAACTGATTTTTTTTTTTGTCTAAAACTTAGGGTTTTGTGATTGGGTGGGGAGGGATTTATATAAGGGATCGATTGAGTGCAAACTTTAAAAAAATGGATTCTTTCTAAACTTTAAAAGATATTGTAATTAGATAAATATGGAGAAAAAAATATGAGAAATGCTATAGGTACATAATACTTTACATAGATGTGTACATAACACTCACATTAAGTGGGTCCTACTAAAAATAAAAAATCATTTGGACCACACTCCATGTGAGTGTTATGTACACCTCTATGTACATTTATTATCTACTTGTAGCATTTTTCAAAAAATATTTACCAGGAATTCACATAATATGAGATTCTTTTCAAACTTTAAAAAAAAAATTGTAGTTTAATAGATATGGACAAAAAAATATCCATAGATAAAGATTTGCCCGAACTTTCAAACTTTTTTTTTCATATATATAAATCAATTTGTGCTTTGGGTGGGAATTTGCGATTTTTTGAAAAAAAATTCATTATCAATAAAAACGAAAATTTTAGGCGGGATTTTACATATTGTTCATAGCTAAATGTTTTGCCTTTTTATATATTCATAGATATATATTTAAGTCGTGAATTTTTTATATTATATGATTATATGGCTAAAAATATGTTGTTTCAATCAAATAAGTCATATATTATTTCAGTTAAAGAATATAAACCACCAAAAAATAGAAAAGTAGTTAAGATATATGTCATAAAATAATGTAATTTATTATATTTAAGAAAAACAAATCAATATATTTACACACAAAATTCATAAATATAAATAATTTGTGGAGGATTGAAGTTTATCAATATTTAGTATAACATCCATTATTCTCGGAACAACTTTTTGTTTGATTTGCAACATTAATTTGAATGAAAAAAATCCATAATTGTTGGAATATCTTGATTCAAAATCTCAATTTTTTGGCATAAGAATCTTCAAAATTGTTACCAATAAAAATGGGATTCGTATTGATGAAATGAATTAAAGTTTGACATAAGAATCTCCAAATTTGTTACCTTAACAATCTCCAATTTTTATGGGATATCACATTAAATTTGATTCCTAAAGAAAATAAGTTGTTTCAATCAAATAATTCATATATTATTTCAATTAAAGAATATAAACCGCCAAAAAATAGAGAAGATGTTAGGATTTAGGTCATAAAATAATGTAATTTATTATTATCTAAGAAAACCAAATCAATATATTTACACACAAAGTTCATAAATATAAATAAATTATGGAAGATTGGAGTTTATCAATATTTAGTATAACATCCATTATTCTCGGAACAATTTGTTGTTTGATTTGCAACATTAACTTGAATGGAAAAAAAAAATCCGTAATTGTTAGGATATCTCAATTCAAAATTTCAATTTTTGCCATAAAAATATCCAAATTTGTTACCTATAAAAATGAGATTTGTATTTCTGAAATGAATTAAATTTTGACATAAGAATCTCCAAATTTGTAACCTTAAGAATCTCAAAATTTTTTGGGATATCTCACTTAAATTAATTTCCTAAAGAAAATAAGTTGTTTTAATCAAATAAGTCAAATATTATTTCAATTAAAGAATATAAACCACCAAAAAATAGAAAAGAAGTTAGGATTTAGGTCCTAAAATAATCTAATTTAGTATTATTTCAGAAAAACAAATCAATTTATTTACACACAAAATTCATAAATATAAATAATTTATGAAGGATTGGAGTTTATCAATATTTAATACAACATCCATTATTCTCGGAACAATTTTTTGTTTGATTTGAAACATTAATTTGAATGGAAAAAAATTCGTAATTGTTGGGATATCTCAATTCAAAATTT